TCGTGGTACAAAATTGAAAATCGCGGCATAATATTGGATACCAATATTGCAAATTCTGGGATACCATTCGATAGCAATATCGGATATCTTGACCTCTCATTCGCAACCTATATTGAAAATCCTGGAGTATTATTGGGATCCAATATGGGAAATCATGGCGTAATTCTGTTTAGAGATATTGGTATTTCATTGAATAAATTGTAATACCGATTTTCGAATAATAATGGAAATAACCCCGGATCACCGCTGACCCAATATCGGATATTTAAATCGGTTCAAAGTTTGAGTTGGTTACGCTCATATATTGATTCCATATTGGAATGCAAAACGTTGGGCCAATACTGGTGTGCAGCCTGGTACGGCTTAAACTTCTGCCACACCACCGGAAAGCTCTCTAGCTCCCCCACCGCCCGCTAAATAAGACAAGACTGGTCTAATTTATAGTACTCCAGAGCAAAAGGCAGGTTGGAGTGACTTCTGTGAGAGGGTAAGCGTCCGTAATTCCTGGGATAGTACCTTCATGCTTAGGAACATCATTTTGTACTTGATCGACAGCACCTGGACGTGGTTAGAAACCCATGAGGAAGAAAATACTTCTGTGTAAAACTAGAACTCAAGACATACTGATCGTCATACAGGACGCAAGCTTTAGGCAAAGCGCACGCTGTCAGCCCGGGTCGAGACATCTACAGAATCATGTGTGGCCTACACAAAAAGATGCAGTATTGCTGCGCCGGGAGGCTAACATCGAAATGCCCGAACCTGAACCAGTTGAGCAATTTCTAAATTGCCTAACAAATGATACCTTTCAACTGCTCCTTATCAAAGAGTGCCCATCGGTGACAACGGTTCTGAATTAAAGCCGCAAGCTCGAGACAGCTACAAAGTGAAGGAGAATGCGAAGGTTCTTCCGGTTGCTTAACACCAGACTTGTTCTGTAAGAAAAGTAAGAAATTACATTTACAATTACTCAAAGCTAAATTGTCATTAATTACAATTACATTTATATTTACATAGGAGTAAGAGACCGTTACACCGAAAAGGAACCCGTTACTTTAGTGGCGTTACTTCCAAGATTACTGTCCTTAAAAAAGAAACGAAGGGAAAGGGTGTATCCAAATCTTTATTCTTGAAGTCATTGCTTGAGTATTTTGAGTAAGAGATTGCTCTCGAAAGTCGCGTGAGATATCTTGCCTTATTTCTTTGTAAAGATATCGACTGCCACGCTGAGCACCTTTTCATCTGAGACACTGGTTAGGAGTACCGTATTGTTCCTTACGAATTCTTATTGCACAACATTGTGCTTCTCCAACGGAGCGATGAGAGTGCACTTTAGCCTGAAAAAAGAGGGAAGTTTGTTCGTTGCAGCTGGTGCATGATACTGTCAGAATTGTAAAGGTATAGAAGCGGGAATGAAAAGTTTCCGGATATTTTGAACGCGAAAAAAAAAATACTAAAAAAAACGATTTCCTTTCCGGGTGTTTTGGAAACAATGGGAAAATCGTCTGAGCTGGAGTAATCCAACAATGATGTAAAAGATAACAACAAAGTATAATAACGACAAAGCTTTTTTTATTCATATTTGATATTTGGTGTTCATGTATTTCGCTCGACCTTTTCGCACGAAACCGTTGTGCGGTTGCTTGTTTAGCTTGTTTCTATACTCTAAGAAAAAATGACTACCTCGGGTAGTCGAAGTACCGTTTCGGGGCTTTGACTACCCCAACCTTTTGGCAAAATGTCAAGCGGAATGGCCACTTTTCTGCAGGTTATGACAGGGGGGGGGGGGGGGGGGGGGGGAAGGGGGGTGGTCACTTTCGAATCCAATATTTGCGTGCAGGCAGTCGTAAATGATATTAGTAACTGAGACAACTAAAACAAGACTATAAATTATACTCTCCTTTAGCTTCCGTGATCCTTCAAGATCCGCCAAGATCACATCTGTTGTGCAATGCGCGTAAATTGCTGCAATAAAAAGTTTGTCAGCGCGAGCCGCAACACTGGTTGTCAACATGGCTTAGCTTGACGCAAGGAGGTTATCTTGACGTGAGTATTTGCAAAAATGAAGTAAGGATATTCCTTTTGCCGTATTTTGTTGTGCAGCTTATTTTTAAAAAAATCAGCTTAACCCCGTGAATGTCCCCTTTGACTCTACATATTGCATTCTCGGCTAACCCGTTGAACCGCGGTTGACACTAAGTGGTGGTGGGGTGCTGTACATGACCGCTGTAAAAACTGTTTGAAAACAGTACTGTTAAACTAGGGTCCGTTGTCGAACACCAGTATCCTTGGCTGTCCAAATCGACCAAAGATGTTGCACTGGGATTCTACTGTGGTCTCGGCCGATGCTTCCATCTGTTTTGTGTCCGAGTGGACCACGATCAGTATTACGTAAGTCTCCAGCAGTATGGCATAATATATCTGAAGTCGTGTTCAGTTACTTGGTATCCAACCTGCTGACCTCAACCTGCACCAGAGGCATTTAAGAGAACTAGGCACGTCTCGCTCCTTCTTGCATGGTCTTAACTGTCTTCGTGAACACCGGGAAACCAAAAGATGGTGTTTGCCAAGCTCTTCATGACTGACATGACTGAATGAGTGTCAAGGTGCATAGCCCCCTGTATACTGATAATGCCTGCTCAATTGCCGTATGCTAACTATCAGCACAAGGATGCGCCGCTTCCTCATACAAGACAGAAAATGTGAGCGACGTGAATAAGCCTCGTGCGTTCTTGTATTCTTGGTGCTGTTTTTGGCATTAGTCGTGGTACCTGTGGGCAAGAACATGCCGGGGCTCTCATTTCTCGAGAACTCAAGCAACACCTGGGACCATAGAAAGTGATCGAAGCTCATTTCCAGGAAAAACAGAAAAACACCGTCCCCAATTGTACCTCCTAGTACTCAGTAGTGCCCGGTAGGCACCTTTTGGTGATGGACATTAAGGAAGGCCAGCTCATCATGATGTCACATCGGGACGTGCCACGTCACAGTGTCACAGGACGCCAGCTACGATTGGTGTGGGAACCATTGTACAGTCAGAGGCAATTTGACCTGCGACAACGTGAACGCTGGCGGAGCAGGCAAAATGCCGCATGGGGCGCAGCGCTCGCCGCGGCGTTCTGTGAACGAGACTTGGCGGACTGGTCCACTCTGTAGAAGCGGGGGGGGGGGGGGGGGATTAAGACGGGAGGGAGACATTACGAAGGGCCGGCTATGCGGCGTGGCATTTCGAAATGGTTAGCAAAATACGCCGACTTATACTTTTTTAAGTACTTTTATTCTTCCCTTGGCAAGGCTATCTCCGTTTGCTTCCGCTCTGGCGCTCATATCCTAGCACGAGTTTGTAAAGCCGTCGGGCATTACTATCAGTTCTTTCGCACGTGATGGTTACAACTTGATCTCAGTTTACGGTTCAGCGGGAGTGCACGGTTCTAGTAATGTCGGATGCCCACGTTATTTTTTTTTTCTTTTAGCTTACTGGAAATAACTTCTGGCTAGATATGATTAGGAATTGCATTATTCTTTCAATAGATTTTAAGACGAATCAATTACTTTTCGTGATATGAGGAAATAAAGACTGCGCTGAAGACACTGTTTCTGTTCTTGCAGCCGCAAAATTCCCGAGCACAAGCACACAGATTCAGACACAGAAAAAACTATCCTTATGCAGTCGTTTTTTACCTTGGCCGTTCACAGTATTATTAGGAAAACTTCCATGCTACCATACAATGAGTGCACGCTTATAAATGAACTCTTAGTCATCTTAACTCACTTTTTCTGATCTAAAAATAACAGGAGAGCGTTTGATTCCTTGGGGAACTACAGTCAAAATTTACAAAGAGAAGACGAAAGATAAAACGCAGGGAACATATTGTGCAGAAAAGAGCTTATCTGATATGATAGAAGGCCATTCTAGCGCGAAATTCATTTGTTTTGACCCGACCTCCCCCGGCAGCGAAACGTGGACTGCTCCCGTAGCCTCTTCCCCAGCGCGAAAAAGCGAATGCTGCGCTGCATACGGCAATTGTTCCCCGTGGCCGCTCGCTCCGTTGTCTCAGGTCAAATTGCCTCTGACTGTACAATGCCTCTCTCGTACATGTGTTTCCCGTTTACTTTGGCAACTGATGCAATCAAAAGAGTTTTTGGTGGAGGCTATAGAGTTTACAAGTTACGACTGCCTGCGGTTTCAGCTAATTGGTGATATCAAATGGTTGCCCGTTTCAATAGAATGTCTATCTTGATTCCGTTTGTCCATAATCTCTTCACTGACTGGTTTGTTCCAAAGTAACTCAGTGGGTCTTTTTAAGGAAGCCTCAAGAAAATGCTGTGCTAAGGCTGCGCTAGCCTTGAAAATTATTTTTCTTGAGACCCGGAGACTACCTGATTTCATTTTAAGCATGCCGGCCACTGCAGGGGAAAGATGACCCAGATTTGGAATGAAGTAATAGGTTTAACATGTGTATATTTCCTTTGTAGCTTAAAAAAAGGTGCCACACTTAATTAGAAAGACAAGTTAAACACAAACATTATTAGGCATTAGGGTAAAGAAAGCTGTGCATACTTTAGCGCAGCGTTCAGTATTTTGTGCACATTTTACTTTGTAGCAGTGAGTTCGTCTATGATGACTGTACAATCTTTTTTTAGAATGCTATCATTGACACTCCTACTTCCTCTACTTCACTTAGAGTATGTCAAATACATTAAACCTGACAGACAACCATACTTGAGCATAGTTGTAAACCCGAGACTGGGGCTGTTGACACGGGAGCTGTCGACAACTTTGAGTTGGTGCCTTCTAAATTGTTTTTGACTGGAATGTACGGGGGCCTGGGAAAAGGAAGAGGGAAGGGGTAGAGTTTTGGGAAAAGGAAGGGAAAAAGGGGGTGGGACAAAGGGTGGCGAGTGGCATATATGTTTGTCCTGTGAAATAAAGTTTGTAGCTGCGTTTGAGACTTCGTCCGTGTCGTTCTGTGTTTTGTCCCTTGTCCGTATCTCCAGTCTCGGGTTTACAACTATGCTCAATTTACACCAGCTAGCCTGCACCCTCACCGTTGCTTCACAACCATACTTGGGCGTCCATCATATGTCTGAGCTGTGCTTTAATTATTATTTTTTTCAGTTCAAGTGTATCTTTCTTGCTTGGCTTGATTAGTATCTACTTCATTACTGAATGCTTTTTTTACAGGGTTGCGTCGCCACAGGGGACTTGTGCGCTTGTAGGCGTTTGGTGAGGGGCGTCACCAATCACCATGAGCCCCGAGCCCAGCGTGGGTTCAGACCCCCTGCATGCCTGGCAGTGCTAGGTCTCAATTGGGGTCTTGGCAGTTGAGCTAATCCCGGCCAAGGTTTCCTTCAAGGGCCCCCCGGGTTAGGCAACACACCACCCGAGCCCCACCTTTGCAGAGACAGGTGTCCTGTGTTAGTTCGCCGAGGACGATTCGGTCAGTCGCTTCGCATCACTTCTCCTTTCTTCTGACTTTCCTGTCCATACCTCTTTTCAACTCCTCATCTTTCAGATGATAACAGAATTCTTTAAAAGTGGATAAGAATTATATTGACGCTTTAATCATGCGCCAGATTGAGTCGCCGTAGCCTACCTTTTCTCGTCTTACCGAGATGCCGAGCCACTGAAGCGGGCATTGACCAGTCTCCTTAAAGGTCTATGCTGGGGAGAATGACACTGTAGCATCCATCGTGGAAATCGCCTGTCCTGCTATGGCAATGATGAAGTAAAACGAACGAAACAAGAGGGCACAAAAACTGAAGCTAGATTGCGGCGGCACCCATGAACAGCTGCCTGAAAGCGTCAACAGCCCATGGGTCTTAAAAACCACCATGTTGTAACATGGTGACGTCAAATAATTTACTATGAAAATATCTCACTCCATGAAAGTTCAATGGTTTTGGCACGAATATGCCTTGCGTGGTTGCGAAGACTGGATGCGCAGGAGCCTCAGGATTTTTCCCTTTGAATAGACGGATCTTACCAGCCAGTTTCGTTAAGCTGCCCCTGCTGCATGTATTAAAGGAACGTTAACAATGCTGCATGTGAGAGATTCCTGCTGGAGCTTTGCGCTTAACGAGACGACGAGAGCCGTCTCGTGCACTGCCGCCTGCTTCCTCTGAACTAAGGTTATGGCAGCGTCTCGCAAATGTGGAACGCTTAAGGCCCTGTCACACTGAGGCAACACGATTGCAACAGCAACACAACACGTTCTCAAACAGTCGGGCAACTTGTTGCTCGCTCCCCATGGTGTCCATTAAACCTGTCACATCGCGGAGACAGCTGGATAATATGGACAATAACTAACATGTTGCTTCTGTTTGATACCTTTGGGCAAAAAAAAAAAAAGCAGCAACTTGCGTTGGACATTGTGTGTTGCCCTGATCGCTGGGTGAGCGAATTGCGGGCTGGCAGCATGACAACACACATCACTTCGATCAATAGTGACAGATGGGCCAGTTGGTACATGACTTATTTTCGCACAATGCGCCGCAAGACAAGGACAGAGTAAGTGAGACAACACGAAGCGCTACTTTCAACTGAATGTTTATTGAAAACACACTATTTATATACCCAATCGGGCTTCTCAAGTAAGAATTCAAAGTCTTTGTCTGTCAGATGCACTGACGGGGCACTAATGCACTTGTCATCCCCTGCATTCTAATGTTAAATAAGTCGAACATCTCTCTCGATAACTTACTTCTCAGCTTTCCCAGAATTTTCGTTTTTTCCAGTTCCGGGGCGCAAGGGCATCTGTCGCAATGAATAGCTAAATTGCCCGAGGGGGAATTCCTTACTGATAGCGCGTGCTCTCTTGCCCTTTTATTAACGCATCTGCCCGTTTCGCCCACGTACCCTTTTCCCCATGTCATTGTAATTTCGTATATGACCGAAGATGCGCATTCCACGAATTTTCTAGAGTGCTTCTTTCTGCAAAGGTCACCTCCGTCTTGTTTATTGTTAATTCTTTGGCACAGGCTGGACAGCGTTTCCGGGGCCGAAAAAACCGGCAAATCAAAGTGTGCAGCCACTTCTTTTAGGTTGTATGAGACCTTGTGTATATACGGTATAACAGCGAGTCTCACTCTCCTCCTGGGCTCCTGTGCTTCCTCTTCTTTCGTTTTCATCTTGGAAACCAGTGTTTCAGCCACCTCTTGAAGAAAGCGATCAGGGTAACCCGACGATTTTAGGTGTTCCACCTGGTTGCAAAAACTACTTTTCACGGCGTGCTGGCACGATTTGGCCAACGATGCCTTCAAAAGGGAGGAAGCGATCCCTCTCTTAACTAGCTTAGAGTGTGTTGAATTAAAGGGCAGGACCGTTTTCTTTGAGCGTGGTCTGTAGTCCCAGCACATGTGCTGCTCTTGAGAATCTAAACTTAAATCCAGGAATTGCAGCTTTCCTGACGGCATTGTTTCATGAGTGAACTTTAGTCCTCGCGAATTTAAACAAAAACTTCCCAGCACTTTTTTAATGAAGTTATCATCCAACACAGTGGGCAGGGGTACCAGCATCAGGAAGTCATCCACGTATCTTAGTATCTTAACATCCCCCTTTTCTTTTAGACTGCTGAGCACTTCCCGGCCAAATCGCGCCCAAACAATATCGCACAGTACGGGGGCGACTCGTGACCCAATGCAGATCCCATGCTTCTGAAAATGCAAGTCACTTTCAAAAGACACAAAGGTAGAATCCAGATAACATGTGAGCAGTTCTATAAATGAGTCCACACTAAGCCCAGTCGAGTTCCTAAACGCAATCTCGTCGTTACACTGTATGCACTTCCTAACCACAGAGAACAGTTCCTCATGCTGTATGGAATAAAACAAGTCCTCTACATCGATGGAGAACCCGCCCGAGTAGAAAACATCTGCAGACAAGCACTGGATGGCCGCCTCTGAATTACGAATGACACGGATCGTTTAAATCAAGACCCTTAAGCTGCTTGCCCAAGAACCCCCCGACTTCACGTTGCCATGAGTCCCTTTCCGACGGTATCACCCTAAAAGAAATATTAGCTGTATGGTTTTTGGCAGCGAAAAAAACTTCCAGGCTAAGCTTCTTGGAAGCCTGAACCCTCTTCGCGAGACTGTTAAATTCAAGACTTTCACAAAGTTGCTTGGCCACTGTCTTGATCTTTTTAAGTGTCACATTTTCAACTTGCCTGAAGTTCTTTTGGATAGCAGCCCGCGACTTCTCCCCGAAGAGGCCCTCACGGGTCACGACGAAGCCGCCCTCCTTATCGGCGGTCAGGAGCTTGAGCTTGTTCTCTTGGAAGTATGAAACCACTGGTCCCGTCCTTGGTGCCTTCTTTTGCCCGCCGGACTTGCATCTCAGAGGACGTCGACGGCATCTGAGATGCAAGTCGGGCGGGCAAAACATTTAACATTAGAATGCATGGGGATGACAAGTGCATTAGTGCATCTGACATACAAAGAATTTGAATTCTTACTTGAGAAGCTCAATTGGATATATAAATAGTGTGTTTTCAATAAACATTCAGTTGAAATTAGCGCTTCGTATTGTCTCACTTACTCTGTCCTTGTCTTGCGGCGCATTGTGTGAAAATAACTTCGATGGCAGAGCCAGTTCCCTATCAATAACATCTTACTCAAATAAAGATTTGGAAAACATTGTTTTACAATAGCTGGTGTGCAGCTACAATAATTTTATGAATGTTTTTACTGTGTAATATTTAAGGAAAGCGATTGTCGAAATGGTCACAGCCACGGTGGTGAACGTTCGGACTGGTGTTGAAATTAGAACTGCCTAGTGACCAACTCGCATTACTGCTAGAGAAATAAAATGGCATGCCTCCTCACCTGCTGATAAAGTATAATAAAAATAATCCAGGAAAGCAAAGATTAAAAAATCGAAGCATTAAAATGACCAATCTGAGAATGATTGTTGATGCTTGGAACGTGGAAACAGCTGCTACCGTACACCACATTTGTTTTAAAAATACCCAAGACATATTGGGGAATGAAGTGATCACATAGCAGGCAGTCGGCAAATAGACAGCATTGAAAAATATTTCTTACACCGATTGTTATGAAGGCCAATCGTGTGGGGTTCGGAGTTTTTAAGCACTGTCAGTTCAGCTCAACAGCTCGCTACAAAAAACGATTGGGGGTGCTGCCGGTGTCAGCTCAATTTTACAGTGGAAAGAGATATTGCATGAAAGAAAGAACCAGACAGCAACGCTTCATATCGTGGCGTAAATCTTGAACATACATCAGCGATCTCACTTTCCTCGATTTGGGCTATCTGTATTGTCAGCGAATGAAGAACATTTTATTAAATAAAAGGTGGATAATGCTTCCCGTGTCATGCTTTCTAATCGCAGTCGCTGGTTGATGTCGTCCCGTGGTAATTTCTGGCCTTTCGAACGATCCAGTCACAATTCCAGCACCGCCGCGCCTCACAAGAGCGAAGGTAAACAATCAAGATGGCGAAGTGTTCCCCGTGTTGTCTCCGCCGTCAGCGCGGTGTGCACTCTAAGAAAAAATGGAGGAAAAAGGTAGCAACGGCGCATCTTCCTCCCTTCTACTGACGCGCCTCCAAGCAGACGCGAGGAGAAGAGAGGAACGAGACGTTTTCCTCCTTCTCCAGGCAGACGGGAGAAAGCTTTCGCCCTCCCGACTCATCTTCTTTCGGTTTCGTTTTTCGAGCACGTCGCGCACGTTGCGCACGTTCTTAAATAATTGTTATTGAGTTGATTGAGCTTCAGCGGCAGCGAAGGCCGCCTGTAATTCCGTCTTCTAGTCCAAATGTGCAGAACATTTCGGTTGAATTGACGTTTTTACCACTAATTTTATCAAACGCGCAAACGAAGCAGCTAGAAACAGCGAAGTTCCGGAGCAGTGCCAGCAGCGCTACGTACACTGGGTAAGATGGCCCTCTCTGGATTGCGGCGGGACCACTGATCTCTATTGTAGTAGGCTGGATAGCGGACCGCTGCCTCGGCAGCTGGGGCTGAGTGTCGCCACCGGTGGCCATTGATTGACTCCAGCCAATGCATGAGACTCTATGGGAAGAACGTGAAAAAGTGCCGTTTTTCCCCGTTTCTAAGTTCTTGTCGGCACTGGAACTTTTTGGATGCTTTCCGATAAGCCCGTCAAATAGCTTGCGTAGAAAGATTAAAACTGACAGTCTTCGCAGTTCTTATATATAAATATTTTGTGGTCGAGAGTCACTCCGCAGCAGTGCAGCTCAATGAGGCGAGAGTTACGTAGAGTTACAGTGGAGTCGGTGGCGGTTTTGTTGAGTTGGGTTTTGCAGACGACAAGCTTGAAGGCTTTGCTACGCGGAATTCGCTCACTCCCGGAAAGCCGCTGTCGAGATGGAACGTCTTTGTCATTCATCAACTTCTGGGCTTCCCCGAGGACGGTCTCATTGACGACAAGTTCCTCTGTTTACTCCACTACGAGAGCAAGCTTGCCAGCACAGCCGTAGGTGCTCCGGTACGTTTGATTTTTTTATTCGGCGACCGAACGTTTGACAAACACCGATTCGATCTCCAAACACCCGACATGATGATCGCAGCGCACCATAAAATAATCGCCTCCGAGCACAGCGTAAATGCTTCAATATTCTTACTTTTATGCGTGTCTACCATGGACTTGCGTCTATTGCCTGGTGTCAAGCAATGGCCGTCGGTGGCGACACCGACGGGCTCCCGATCCGCGATCCAGCCTACTAAAATAGAGATCAGTGGGCGGGACCCTTCTATCCTCCTTGGGCGGGACCAACGAGGTAAAGGGGCTTAGAGTGATAACCTGGAAGTTCGGAAGTGGCACCCCCCTGGTCGCCGCCATGTTTTACGCAAATGTGACCACTCGTCACGTGACCTCCCAAGAGCCGTGACGTCACAGGTAAGATGGCAGCGCCCAGAGCTGGCGGATGCGAGTTTGTTTGGTGCGCGGTAACCGTGATGTGCAGCTGCTTTCCGACGACTGCGGGATTTTTCGTGTTCGCTGACGCAGGTATATTATGCAAATATGAATGAATGAGACTTTATACTATTTTTGGGCATGATCGCTCTGGATCATCTGGATATTAATACCTGTGAGACAGCATCAGCCGTATCGCCATACCGGTGCTCAGATTCAGGATCTGTTCGCGGATCGATAGAACTTTGAGTGCTTTTGACATAAAATTTTCGCATTCTCTTAGGTTTGTTTGAACGTTGGAATGTCTGAGAATCGACGCGAAATGTATGCGTCGGATGTAGGGCCTAGGGGAATTAGTTTCAGCCCTAGGTAACTGGATAATCACAGCACCTTTTAGCGAGGAAGCTCCTGCGACCTTTACGTTTTGCACTTATCAACAATTTTACGATATAACTTCGGGCATAAAATATTCGCATTTTTCTGGCTTCGTTTAAACCTTGGAATGTCTGAGAATCGAAGCGAAAGGTATACGTCCCGTTAGACCCTAGGGGAAGTTGTTTCAGCCCTGCGTCACCGAACAATCTAGCAACTTTTAGCGAGGAAGCTCCTGCGATGTCTAACCTTTTGTGCTGATCGACGATTCTACATTCGATCGCTTTTCTTCCTTTTTTTTTTTCTGAGTGCGAAGTGCACACTTGTTTTCCACTACGAGGATGTCGTTTTATTGAGTGTGGGCAGAATAAGTCGTTCCAGGCACCTGCTTCAAAGCTATTCGACTAGCTATAGGAACAGCTGTTTTGGTGTATGCATAGATTAACTGCACCTTCTTCTCTTTCGTCGGATTTATTGCAGCAATACTTTTTTCATCAAGAGTGTATTGCATTAGTCGGTCATTTATATACTTGTTCTAATTACCTAGATGAGATGATTCACATTTGTGTTCATCCCTTGCCTGGAGAGCAGTCTTGTTGAAAAATGTTGACCATTCCTTTCGGTCTCTTCAATAGACTTTGTTGAAAACTGTGGGCTGCCTATACTTTGTATCATTGTAACTTGGGAACGGGCAACCGCCACAGCCCCCTCGAGCCAATCAGAGAGGCGGAGCGAAGGTGTATGACAAATCTGTGCAGATGTGCACTGTGATGATATGTTGTCATGTGCCTCACCTTTGCCGTTTGCAAGTTGTGATGAAACGAATTACAGTAGCTACTACTCTAATTAACCCAGGCTTTCATACTTTGGGCATTTGTTCGACAAGAATGTTATGTCTGCCTCCACTGTGAACTCGGCTCAGCGCCTAACGCTGCATTAGCATTCGACGTGAACTGGGGATTACGTTCGTGTGCTTTACGCAAAAACAAATGGTGACAGTTGTGTTGCTTGATAGGGTTCTGCAAAGGGTCTATTGTGTCATAAGCGTAGGAAGTGTCCTGCTATATACCAATGCATTAACACATGCATCAAAGTATATGCTCAGAGGTGTGTTTGTCTTTGCAATTAACAAGTTACAGCAGTGTGCTTTAATGTTATTATCATATGTGTAGTTTTAAATATCATCTCTACAATGCTTACGAAGGTCCCTGGAGGGAATAAATTAATAAATACCATTTTCACATCACTCTAGTTGGTTTTCGGATGCACCACGTGTTCAGGAGAGGTGGAACGAGTGCAGCCCTATGCAACAAATCTGCCAGTCTGGTATGTCCCATGAAGGGTCAGAGAAGCGAGTGTCCTCAAAAGGACCTGCGCGTGCAGTGAACACAATTCTTGGTGTATAGACTCTCATGGCGTAAAGGCAAGCGAAAATTTGTTTATCTGGTTAGGGTATCAAATATGTTTATTTCCACTTGATTACAAAATTATTGATTCTTAGTAAATGGTTCCATAACGAGTTCTTTCTGCGACAGTCTCCTGTCAGGCGTTCAGTCTTTGGACCTTGTTGTCGGATGACGTTCCTGGCACGTCTGTGTTCAGTTCGGTCGAGTAGCAACCTTGACCGACGGTTGTCGTCTTTAATCATACGTCATGCGCGGCCACTGACATTTGGGGCACTGAAGCTGCAGAGCTGGCTTCTAATCCGTCAATTTTCCTGGGAGTTCTCTGCGTCAATGCAGCAAGCTCGGGCATGTAGTGCTTACGTGGCTGTGCCTTTTTGTGTAGTGTTTACTTGATGGCTGGCAAGAGGTGACAGTGTTTCTTTGCTCCATTTTACTTCCATTTCGTAATGGTGGTTTATTCTGCATCCCGCGACCACTGCAACTTGTGTAAGTCTCGTGTGGCAAAGTGAAGTCTAGTGATGCTTGCAGTCCACTTTTGAGGGGAACCAACCATTCTATTTCTTCAAGGCGCTCAGCTGCATTCTTACTCAAAATTGGAAATTGTGTTCTTCGTGGCGTAGACACAGATAATTAGTGTCAGCAAATTATTAGGTATTGTCCTTGGACGACAACCGACACCAGATCAACTGTCCCTGCATTGCCGCTCACCTGTTTTGTCGTGCTTACCTCCCGTCCAGATGAAGTGGATCACGAGCTTCGGGGTAATCTGGGCACCAGGGACAAAGACCTCCGATAATCCTGAGTCTTTCGCGGTCGCTCGTCGAAACGTGGTCGAGGGTCGTTCGGCACGAACCCTTGTAGGCCAATTCATTTGTATGGGCACCTCCAGTAGACATGGTCAGCCTCTCGCAGTGGTAGCAGAATGGTTTTCGGTCGGCGATTCGCAGATTCTCCGTTTTCCTTGGTGTACTTTGTTCAGCGCGGACCTACACTGCTTCTCCCCGATGTCTGGAATGCTTCGACGTTGGGGTGTCTTGTTGAATTGGCATTGAATAGTAACAGGTAGCCGGTGGTGGTCGTTGTGACTTTGTGGCGTGAGTCGCCCTCGGTTCGTCAGATGCGGCTTCGCTCGTAAAAGTATCCAGCTGAAATGCCTGTCGAACTTCTACCGAAACAATCTCGGCAACAAAATAAAAGCCGGGAAACTGATGGCAGGAACTAGCTTCCTTATCTCCTCCCGGACACCGTTGTGGATGATGTCGCGGATTTATTTATTTATTTATTTGAAATACTATCGGTCCTACACAGGACCAAGATAAGAATGGATTTTTTACAACACCAAAAAAAAAAATACACACGCTCAAAATGCACAGATTAATAACACGAATTTAACACAATGATGAAATGACAACTCTAGGTACTGCTGTCAGAAATCTCTGAAATAAGGGAACTAAACTCTTCTCGAGTTTCAGCGGTAACAACATGTGCGGGTAGCTTGTTCCATTCTCGCGCTGTCTGTAAGAAGAACGAATACCTAAAACAGTCCTTAGAAAACTTCCGCTCTTCCACATACCGAGCATGCTTGCTGCGGGTTATACGCGACATGCTCTCCTTAATATACTGTTGCTTATTTACTAGAACCAAGTTATTCATTATGTTATAAAAAAGGTTAAGCCGCTTCTGCTTCCTCCGCACCTGAAGGAGGGGTAGATTTGCCCTTTTATAAAGAGGTGACACAGTGTCCAGCCGTCTATAGCTAGAAAAA